CTTCCCTGAGCTTTGTAGCATCGTGTTTAGACAAGTTTGATCATCTTCGTTTGTCTGAAGCAGCATCAATGTCTTCAAATGAAATAATGTTTTCTAATCATCATACATTTTAAACAGACACAGAATCAAGATTTCGATGAGTGTGTGCTTGCGTTTTTTGAAACAACACTACTTACTGGATACTTCTGAACTGCTGTTTTCATTTCAATCTTTACCATCAACCAAGAGCAACCTTCTGGTTCATGACTCAAACCCAAGTGTCATGGGTCTCTACAAAGGCACTTAGTTCCCACCCCCAGAAGTCCAAACTCAATCTTTTCCATCAACCAAGAGCAACCTTCTGGTTCATGACTCAAACCCAAGTGTCATGGGGCTCTACAGAGGCACTTAGTTCCAATCCCAAAAGTCCAAACTCAATACATTCAGTCAACAGCACAGAACTCTTAAGATACAACAGGATTTTGTAGCCAGAAATTGGTCATTTTGGTCGAGTTTATTTAACCGCTTCCCAGCTTGAGTTTTTGCAGACAGAATTTTCTAGGCATTCATATGACATTCTTGAACTTTGAGACTTCTAATTAAAGTATTGATTTCAAAAGGTGGAGGTGCCCCTGAAAGAGATATTCAGGCTGTTGGGCAGATGAGCAGCCTTTCAGCCAGAGGAGGCAGAAACCCTTGCACTGTCTCTACTGAATGGAAGAGGCACACGGTCATCACACAGCCTGGGAAAAGTGAGAAGGAGGCTACCACCGTTCTTCCCTAGAAGTAGGTGACTGTGCTAGACTACAACCCCCTTGAAAAAGCCTGTATAAATAGGGATTTCAAGAATGGTCCTTATTTGTCCTTAACTGTTGCTGTTAAAACGTAATCTGACCCACAAGCTATCCAACAAGAGGTAGTAATTTGCCTGAAAACTACAATTCGCATATTTGTATTTAACAGGGCAACTGATCAAGACTGGTAACAGTTGGAACTGTCAAGTTATTAGGACTCTGATCTGCTAGGATCCATACCCTGACAGGGTTTATTGCTACAAAACTGTTTAGCATTTCACAACACAGCAGAACCAATCAACATGGAATTGTGCATGTGCTTTCTAGTGACAGATTCAAAATACAAGTGCGTGGGATTTTCTTTCCCTGAGCGAAGAGTTATCAGTGTTCAATTGAGCAAAATGTTTAACAGCTGAGCACTAAATGGCCTGAATGCTGCCATCTCTTGGAAACATCCTAATGAAAGTAACTGAGAAATTGGGTTTGTTTTGTTTTGTTTTTTAAAAATCAGCTCTAGAGCTAAGACCAAAGCAAACCATATTCTTTGTCTCCTCAGACTTTCTTCCAAGACTTTGATTTGGCATTCACTTTTTATTGTGAGTGCCTAGACTGTTTTTCCTGCATCAGTTCTTTCAAATACCACAAGGAAATCCTTGGGCAAATACAATCACATAAGGGACATTAGCCCATATTAAACACGCTGCCTCAATTAAAATAAAATCATTAATGGAGACAAAACCCTTTGGTTAGTATGCACTTCATTATGCGTTTCGCTATTTCAAGAATTCAAAAAGCATTCCTGGGGGCAGATACCAAGAGCTGACCAATGACATTACAAGGTTAATAGCCCCGACCTAATCATACTAGAAATATTCAAGTTTCAAAGAGAGTCTATTGGAATCTGCATTTTATTAAACTGCTGAACAGTGCAGAAAGATGGCATTACACACTAAACTTATGCTTTATGGGATTAAAATGTTAGGATCAGAGACTCCATAGAATAGAGTAGGCTCCAAAATGAAATGTTGCATAAGCTAGTGTTAGTGGAATGATCCTCAAAGCCCTTAGGTGCAGATTAGCCTATACAACTTTGTCCTTTTCAATCCTTTGTTTTCTTTCAGGCCACCTTTCGACCCTGAAACTGCTATAATTGCAGCTCTTCAGAGACAAAGTGAAGTGATATGTTGCTGATATGCTTCTTAGGTTGCTATGTTACAGTGATTATCTAATTAGGTACCTGCCTGAAGTGAATAATAATGGCAGCATTTAAAACAAATCGATAAAATACATCCAATCAGTTCTTGGCAGGCCTTTATACCAGTTTTTATATATACTGGCTTAGAGAATAACCATTCAACTTTATGCTTGGGCAGCTCCATATAGGACTTGTATACCGTAAATGCTGACATATAAGACAATCTTTTAAGTGAGCCCATTTAATTGGTCTGGAAAGCAAGTTCCACTCTCTGAAAGTGTTGATAAAATAGAAGCTAATATAATAAAACATTAATGCTGTTTTTGCATCTTCTCTGAAAGCAAACATAGAGGTACAAAAGGAGAAGAAAGAGGGCAACTCTGCTAACGCAACAATAAAATCATTTTCTAGATGTTGCAGGTTAAACTTACTTCAAATAAAGAGATTGTAAGGTTAATGCATGAGCAAAGTTTGCCTAGAACATTCTGCCAAGTTTTAAACAAATAAAGATGTACATCCTAGTAAACATTGATTCAGAGTTTCACGATGAATTACAAAATAAAATGAATAGGATCAACAGAAGTGTAACGTCGGATACATGTAATATATCAAAAGCAGAAAATAAAAAAGCTGTTTGAATGCACAACAACTCACAAGCCAGATTGTCATTTCCTAGAGGTCGGAGACCATAAAAGTTGGTAAAAGGCACATTCTTGAAAAAAGACACCATATGTAGTTCTAGGAGTCTCTCCAGTTCCAGAAACACCCCTAGAACTACATTCCCAATTCTTCTAGGAACACAACCACATCCAGTTCAGAAAAAAAAACCTAGGATATCTCCTTATTGCTATCATTTTTCTTCTTGAGGTAGATTGATAAGACCACCACTTCTCTCTCTCTCTCTCTCTCTCTCTCTCTCTCTCTCTCACACACACACACACACACACACACACACACGAGACTTGCTATATTAGAGCCTAAACTAAAGTTTGGCATCATAGTAGGCTGTAAGAAAAGTGATTCTGCTAATTGCAGCCACTGCCCTGGGGTCAGAATGTCTTAGGCAATCCCATCCCATGATCTCATTTTAGCTGGAGATTGTCATGGGAATGGCATGTTATAGCTATACTGGGTTAAATAGACTGGATGTTTAAATCAGAATATTCCCCTCCTTCACTACTGAACATTTGTGTCAATTCTATTTAAGTTTCTGAAAAGGTAGATTTAATGTAGATAAATGTAGAACATTTCTAAGTGCAGTACAACCTGTCTCATGATTTGTGTACAAGATGTAAAATTCATTAATTTACATTGTCTATGCTTAATTGATCACAGTGCTAAATGATGACTCCCTTCATATTCACCCCCATGACTTTGACGTTGACTTATTGTTCATTTCTTTAGCTAAAGCTGGGACATTTGAGATTTTCACAGGACTGAAGAAAAATAGATGCAAACGCTTGACGGTGCCAGGAGATAAAATAATTGTGCATGAAATTTAACTTATTCAACATTAAAATACAATGAGAACAAACGACTCGACATATTAATTCTATGTAGAACGGTATAATGGCTGAAATTGAAGGAAGTGTGGTTTCTGAACCACACTAACATATGCCTAGACGTACCTTTATTAATGTGAGTGATATACGGCTCTTTCTGGCCTCAGCTTAAGTTATAATAGCAGCTTTATGTTGGCCACTGCTTCACTAAGTGGTAAGTTCACAAGAGCGTATTTTATTGCAGCCGAAAACTCGGGACATTTTGATTGATCAGCTTAGATCTAAAGATGAACCCCCTAAAGTTCAGGTGTCTATGTCCCAGAAATAATTTTCAAAAGGGGAGGGGGAATTAAAGTGACCATGTGACTGGCTGGCTGAAACATAGCATGTGTCTGAAGTTCCATGAGACCAGGAGTCACTCCAAATTACCTCTGTATATACAATGCATGCAGGCAAGATTTATGACAGTGAAGGTAACCCAACAGCCCTTGATCACATATGTGAGACAGGGCACATCCCTCTTATCTTTCTGCAAAACTCCAGTGGGCCAGATGAGCCAGCTTTGTATCAGATAGCAAAGTGGCCATTGCTTTTTCCTTCCGTTGCCTTTTCACCTGGAATAAGCCGAGTCGGTACTCCGACAACGAAACAAGCCTGCCAGCAACACAGTCACACAAACCATATAAAATGCATACTCCCTTGATTACTGTCCCTCATCGCAGTGGTGAATGCCTCTTTGCTGGAGGAAATAGTCCCAGCTGCCTTGAAAGAGGCAGTGGTTCTTAAGAAGTCCTCCCTGGAACCTGAGCTACCATCAAATTGCCAATATCCCATTCCTGGGCAAGGTGTTTGAGAGGGTGGTGACGGCACAGCTTCAAGTGTACTAGGATGGAGCCAATTATGTGGATCCATTACAATCTGGTTTCAGTACTGCATTTCAGCTGTGCAATTCTCTCTCCTTGGAAGCACAGATGGCCACACTGCCTACTAAGAACTCATCTCTTCCCCAAGCTTTTGTAGGAGCTGGCTGAGTCTGCTCTGCATAGTAAAGGTAAAGGTAAAGGTACCCGTGCCCGTACGGGCCAGTCGTGTCCGACTCTGGGGTTGCGCGCCCATCTCGCTTAAGAGGCCGGGGGCCAGCGCTGTCCGGAGACACTTCCGGGTCACGTGGCCAGCGTGACGAAGCTGCATCTGGCGAGCCAGCGCAGGACACGGAACGCCGTTTACCTTCCCACTGGTAAGCGGTCCCTATTTATCTACTTGCACCCGGGGGTGCTTTCGAACTGCTAGGTTGGCAGGCGCTGGGACCGAACGACGGGAGCGCACCCCGCCGCAGGGATTCGAACCGCCGACCATGCGATTGGCAAGCCCTAGGCGCTGAGGTTTTACCCACAGCGCCACCCGCGTCCCAACTGCTCTGCATAGTACACTATGTATTATTATAGTGCTACTAGTTTTACCAGCTGCATTGTTTCCGTGTGGTTTTTTTTTGTTTTGTTATGTTTTTTATTGCTGCTGTAAACCACGTTTGCGGTGAAAAGCAATCTATAAATTCAATAAATAAAATAGTTTCATCTGAAACAGTTTCAAGGAAGACGTCTGCTTATTTCTTTTCCTGAAAACAAAGGCTACTTCACTTACTTGAAAGTCTCTTTCCTCTAAGATCTCCTTCTTCCATCTGACAAGGAAGGCAGCACACACATATAAATGGAAGTGAGAAAATCCCTCTGGTTCAGACTGAGAAAGAGAGAAAGAGAATTTATGCATAACCAGACAATAACTGCAGTTTATTCATTATTATATTCTGTCATTTTTCTAGTTACTCCAAAGTTAATTATCTCCAGGAGGTAAAATTGTTGCTGATTTTTATGATTGACTTATTAAATCAAACTCCAAAATCAGATCCCAAATAATTTTATCTTTATTGCAGGTGGGGAATTGCTCACCAGGAACCAACACTATTTCAGAGTACTCTATCCAATTATATAAAAGGCATGCTATATCAATTAAGCTTTGCAGTAAGCATCAAGTAAAGATTTCTGGTGTCAGTCTTTGTTTTGAAAACTGCTTTAATTGTGACAGTGAACCATCTTTTGTTGAGAGGAATAGACAGTGGAGTTTTAATCCTGTTTATTCTCCTTGACTTCTTGATTGTCTTTGTCACCATTTAGAATAGTAACATTATACACTGCCTGCCAAAACTGAGAATATGAGCATCACACTGTGATGCTTCCATTCCTGTCAGAAAGGAAGAAAGTGCTTGCCCCTTGAGACCCAGCTTGTGGGATACTACAGAGATAAATCTTATTTCCCAAACTATTTAACATCAACATGAAGCTGAGATCATTAGAGCTTCTGAAGTTGAATGTCCTCAATACAATACCGTTATATCATGAGAAATCCAGGTAATTACAAGCCAGTTGGCCTAGATTTTTTTCCAGGTAAATTGGTGGAAACTATTATTACAGGTAACACATTACTAAGCACATAGAAGAAAAAGTCTTGCTGAGGAAGAATCAGCATTGCTTCTGCACAGTTAAATCCTCTGTCACAAGCATTTGACATCTTTGAGTATGTCATGATGTACTTGGACTTGCACAACGCTTTCGACAAAGTCCCTCCATCAAAGGTTTGAGTAAACTTAGCAGATACAGGATAAGAAGTTGGGTTCTCCTATGGATTATTTCTAGATAAACAGGAAATAGGGGGTAGAAGCAAAACAGACACTACTCACAATGGAAGTAAGCAGTGAGATTCCCAATGTTATTTAAAGTGTTCATAAATAATGAGGAGACTGGGATGAGCAGTGAAATTCTGGCATTTAAACTTGAGAAACATGGAATACCCTGACTTCACATTCACTGGTGAGGTCTGAACTGATGGTGACTAAGCAAGAAAATCTGGAGGTCATGGTTGATAGTTCAATTAAAACTGCCATGAAAAGGGCGAATTGCAATTGGGGACTATTATTAGTATGCCACTGAATGCCAATAGCTGGAGAATAATAGCAGAAGAGTGCTATTACTCTTCAAGCCCCGTTTGTGGACTTCACTGTGGACATTGTGGACTTCTGACCCAAGTGAGCTCTAATGTTCTCAAATGGAGGTTGGGGGGGGGGTATAAGCAGTTTCCAGTCTAGGTCCAAGACAAACTAAACAAAGCCAGAGAAGAAACTGAGCATGAAGTTCACCAGAACCTTCAAATAATCTTTACCAAAAGTGAACACTGCTGTTATACAAGCTACATCCAACGGCTCTTTCAAAATAATTGTAAAACATGCCATTTGCTCCTGATATTTTCCCTTTCCACATTGCGTTCCAATACTGTTTCCTAGGCTCTTTTAAATCAAATCAAATGGGCTTAAGTATTCAATTCATTAAAGGAAAAATGCATATTCCCTTTAGATTTAAGAATTCATCATGGTTCAAAGATAAAACTAGGCTACAAAGTATTTCAAACGGATAGTCTTGGACAGTTTTGGAAATTGAGCAAAACACCTAATGCATAATTGCCTTTCCCAGCACCTGCTACCTATTATAACTTTCCATTTGCAGCCCTTGAAGTTATGACTGGTTTCATCTTTAAATGTATAAAACGGCGGGCCAATAGCTAAAAGCTATTTTTTGAAGAAAAAAAAATATCAAATATAAACAATGACCTTGATTTAAATATTTTAGCAAAAGATCTTAAGACAGATGTACAGCCTTCCAGAAGACTTATTCTGAACATATTAGGCATGACTCGGAGCGCATCACCACAGAGGCATCTGTCATCATCAATAAAAATCATTTAGAAGGTTAGCATCACAAATATTACATTGCCTTGCAAAAAGTTTATCGCTTCTGTGGATGAAATCGAAGCCATTATTTCAGACTTGGCCCACAAAAATCTCATGAATTAATCAGGGGATGGACGTAGACCAGTGGGAAAGTTAAAGAAGTAAAGCAGAACATGTTCTTGGTAACAATGCACCCCAACAGTTGAAAAAGAAATTGCTTTTATCTATAGAATACTGCTTAATTGGTGTTGTTGTTGTTGTTTAGTCATTTAGTCGTGTCCGACTCTTCGTTACCCCATGGACCAGAGCACGCCAGGCACTCCTGTCTTCCACTGCCTCTCGCAGTTTGGTCAAACTCATGCTGGTAGCTTCGAGAACACTGTCCAACCATCTCATCCTCTGTCGTCCTCCTCTCCTTGTGCCCTCCATCTTTCCCAACATCAGGGTCTTTTCCAGGGAGTATTGGAGCCTCAGCTTCAGGATCTGTCCTTCCAATGAGCACTCAGGCCTGATTTCCTACAGAATGGATAGGTTTGATCTTCTTGCAGTCCATGGGACTCTCAAGAGTCTCCTCCAGCACCATAATTCAAAAGCATCAATTCTTTGGCGATCAGGCTTCTTTATGGTCCAGCTCTCACTTCCATACATCACTACTAGGACAACCATAGCTTTAACTATATGGACCTTTGTCGGCAAGGTGATGTCTCTACTTTTTAAGATGCTGTCTAGGTTTGTCATTGCTTTTCTCCCAAGAAGTAGGTGTCTTTTACTTTTGTGCTGCTGTCACCATCTGAAGTGATCATGGAGCCCAAGAAAGTAAAATCTCTCACTGCCTCCATTTCCCCCCCTTCTATTTGCCAGGAGGTGATGGGACCAGTGGCCATGATCTTCGTTTTTTTGATGTTGAGCTTCAGACCATATTTTGCGCTCTCCTCTGCAAGTGTATTTCGAAACGGAAATTGTGGGCTGCACATTGCCATGCCATGCAGCGGGTGGGGAAGGGTAGCAAAGTTTAAATTGGCGCCCCAGCCCTTGTGCTGCCTTCCCAAAGCTGGAGCTTTGGGAAGGAGGCACGAGGCTCTGACAGGGTCCTAGCTGGGAAGGTGCTAACTAGGCTTTGAGAAGGAGGCAGGAAGACTTTAGGACCATATCAGAGCCTCCTTCCCAAAGCCCAGTGCCTTGCTTTCGCAGCCTTGGGAAAGCAGTGCAAGGGCTGGGAGAGGTGTCAAATGTTGCCGAGGGCCGCCAAAAAGGCAACAAGGGCCGCACACTGGACCACAATGGAAACTACAGTGATATATATTACTCCCACACACAAAAAATATTTGTTGATATCACAATCCTGGGCACTGTCCTGCCTAATAACAAATGCAGGATGATTAAAAAAAATCAGTTGTCCCGTTCAACCCACAAGTGGCTACTCTTAATGAATTTCCAAACGCTACAACTCTGTACTAACCCAGCTCTGGGAATAAAATGCATGTTCAGCGTCTGGTGGGGCTGTGAGAAAGTCAAAGAGTTTTGGGGGTGTATACATGAAGAATTGGGACGGAGGTGGCGCTGTGGGTTAAACCACAGACCCTAGGACTTGCCAATCAGAAGGTTGGCGGTTCGAATCCCCGCGATGGGGGATGGGCTGGGAGAGGTGTCAAATGCTGCCGAGGGCCGCCAAAAAGGCAACAAGGGCCACACGCTGGGCCACACTGGTTTAAGGGGTCAATTCTTAGCCTTGGAAGGGGTTACAAACTCAACACCATTTTTATATCATTTCTAATAACTTTTAAAGTTGTAACATTTTAGATCTGCAGAATGAATCTTAAAGGTATCAAATATTAACAGTATTCTTTCAAGTGTTTTTTGTTTTTTTTTAAAGTACCACACCGTAGAAGATAAATATTTAAGACAATACAAACTCTGAATAACTTTTTGTCATCAACAATTCCTACCCTCTGAAAGGCAGAAAACTTTCAGGGGAAATAATTTTATGAGTCTAGTCTAGGTAGAGGAAATTAAAACGGTTAATTTCAGGCTCAACTAAATCTAACAGCAGCAGATCTGTGTGTTTTAATAGATCTGTGTGTTTAAACATGATCGGCCCTCATCACGTTGAAAGAGGGAAATTTAGTATTTGATGCAAACAGCAAAATGGCCTCAAAGGTAAAGTAAAGGTAAAGGGACCCCTAACCATTAGGTCCAGTCGTGGCTGACTCTGGGGTTGCAGCGCTCATCTCGCTTTATTGGCCAAGGGAGCCGGCGTACAGCTTCCGGGTCATGTGGCCAGCATGACTAAGCCGCTTCTGGCGAACCAGAGCAGCGCACGGAAACGCCGTTTACCTTCCTGCCAGAGTGGTACCTATTTATCTACTTGCACTTTGACGTGCTTTCAAACTGCTAGGTTAGCTGGAGCAGGGACCGAGCAACGGGAGCTCACCCTCTAGCGGGGATTCGAACCGCTGACCTTCTGATCAGCAAGTCCTAGGCTCTGTGGTTTAACCCACAGTGCCACCCGCCTCAAAGGTGGAAGGTACTAAACACACCCACAGCCATGACTTATTAATCATCCCATTTATTGCCTAGCTTTCCTCCAAGGAGCTGAAAATGGCAAAAGTGGTTCTCTCCCGCTACATTTGATCCACACGACAATGGCAAAAGTGGTTCTCTCCCGCTACATTTGATCCACACGACAACCTTGTGAGGTAGGTTAATCCAGTGTTTCCCAATATTCCAAGGGAGCCACAGGTTTAAAATGCACGAGGCTATGGGGCCACAGAGGGAAGTGAGAAGTGAAGGGAAATATCTTTTTTTAAAAAAACTGATTGGCTGGCTATCTGCTTGGCCAATCACAAGCGGGAAAGGGGGCAGCACACCAGGGCCTAGCGCTCCTTTCTGCCACGTGAGCTTTTCTTGGTTTGTTTCCGGCAAGAGAGGGTGATCGCTGAGGCAGAGGCAGAGCCCGCAA